GATAATTCCTTGAGAATCCCACCAAATCGAGAGCATTATTTTTTTCGCATGCAGGTCGTTTTTTGGTTCAGGTTCAGGCAAATCTTCAGGATTTACCCACTGGCGCTTGCGCGTATGGTTGACATATAGAACCCACTTTTCATCGCCAGTGACTGTTTGCTGAAGAAATCTATGTCGGTTGCGTTTTGACAACAAAGAATTGCATATGGTGATTCTCTGTTGTATGTTGTCCGAGGTTAGTTGATGTGGAACCCATCTTCCAAGTTTATTAACTTTTCCCGTTTCATGCAAATGGCGATCGATGGTGGATTGGTTGCACCCGAGCATTGCTGACTATTCACGGGTAGTTAATCGTGGATTGTCTTCGATCAGGACTTTTAATCGTTCAATATCAGATTCGAGAGGACGTCCAGATCTCGGATGATCTTCTAATGATATGTCACGTTCACGAAATCTTTTAAACCAATCTCGACACGTTCGATCAGCAACAGCACCTTCACCAAGTGCAGCACATATATTGCGGGCAGCAGCACTTGCATTCTTCCCTAATTGGAACTCATACAAAATGCAGTGTCGGATATGAATAGGAATCTCTGATATGTTTTAATAAAGAATGTAAATAAAATGGGACCTTTACCAATGTCATCTTATAGTACGACACAAGCGGTATCATATGTGTGAAAATCACGAATGCATAGTAGCGCTAGAAGATTTTTAATCTCATCTAATTTTTCTGTATTGGTTTTCTTCTTTGGTTTCTTAATTATTAAGGCAAGTTGTATCATTGTTTTTCTTCTTCGTCACAAAATGAAATGTGAGTTAAAAATATGACTCGCAGTTACACCCTAGATTCACTGGCAACGTTGTTTCTTCACTGATCTCAGAGGATAATACAGTAATGCAAGTTATGACAGGCATTTATCGAACAATTATTATCTGAAACAGCATAGATCAACTTAATCTATCAATGTAATTGTTAGAAATTTTTTAAATTCACATCTAATTCACAGTCAAATTGGCGAAAGTCTTATTAGTGAAATTCTCGAACTCTCTATTCTCACATAGATACTACAGTAATATACCATTTGATGAGTCCATTTTTTCAATACTTAATCCATTTATTATGATTCGAAATTGTTTACTTTATCATTATGAATCATTGAGAAACTCTTACTTTCATTAACTTTGACAATAAATGTATGTAATCGACTAAAATATTCACCAAATAAACAAAAACAATCGTCAAAAGTATTATATTTAGGTCAATCGATGATTACATACAAATCTATCTTTTTTTTTTCATATGTGATCGCCTCTTCAGTCAAGGGAATCGAGAGAGAAAAAAAAAATCTTATTCGAATGATTATCCATTGATTGATCATCAATTAAGATTATAGAAAAATGTATCATTATTTCTATGGACGAAATCGGTCAGATAGAGAATATTTGAATATATTGACATCAATGAGATCAGTAAAATAAATATAGATATAGATAATAATGGAATATTCATCTATTCAATTGAATCATTTATCAGATGAAATTCTTATTTATATTTTTAAAAAATTGTCTAATGCAGAAATAGTTTATTCTTTATCAGGTGTCAATAAACGAATAAATAAAATTGTACATGACTCGATTTTTACAAATGATTTATCTCTTCTAATGTCTACATCGGATGATTTGCTTTATTCATTACCTGATCTAATACTTAATCGATTTTGTTCACATATTTTACCTTCGATTGATCAAAAAATCGAATGGATTCATCTTGAATCAGTTTGAATGGAAGGTATCCTTGATGTTAAAAATGATTCTAATTTATATAGAATTAGTTTACATAATATTCGATCAAAGATAGCGATAGATCTTTTTAATGGTAACGATATTTTTGTTTTATTCTTTCAATAATAGACATATAAAATCTATAAATGAAATAAATTCATATATTAATTTCTGGTTCCATTAATTAGATGATTACAAATGTTACTAAGTTCAAAATCATTTTTCATTTCATTTTGTATTTGTTAATATGTAGAGAAGAAAAGGTTGTCACTAAAGAGATAGTCGAATAAACTATAGATAAATATAATCATTGATTAGATGAAACGTTCCATAATTCGTAAATTGAATAATCAACTTTTATCAGTTACTATCGATATTAGTAGAAAGAGAACACAAGATTATCTAACAAACAATAATGTAATTATATTTAATCATATCTTTACTATGTTTCCTAATTTAGAATATTTTAATTTTGGTCGATCTTCAATTTCCGATCAACGATTATCCTTTTGTTTTATACGTCCAACTGTTATTTCTATAAATTTGTTAGAATTCCATGTCTGCTTGAAAACTTTTTATGATTGTCTTTATTTACTTGATGGAGATTTCAATCAAGTTCGTATACTTTATGTTGATGTTGGTGTGATTAACTTTATGAAGAGAAGTGTCAATAATACGGTAAATTATTTATTTGAATTAATATCTAATTTAAATGAATTAATAATATTGTTTTTAGGAAAAACTAGCCAATTTAAAATCCTTTTGGCTACATTGTAAATCGAAAATATTTGTTTATGATGAATTAGTTGTACCATTTTTACATCGAATGTCAAATTTGTAAAAGGTTGATTTGTATATTAATATTGATGAAAGAAAAATATTTGTTTGATGGTAATGATTTCAAGATGAATATTATTAATCATATGTCACAATTAAATAAATTCACATTTAATATTCACTGATTAAGTAGTTTTTATAATGAAATTAATTTACCATCAAATGAAGATATTCAAAAGACATTTAAAGATTTTAAAGATAAACAAATTATCTATTGGAGTGATTATTTTCCAACAGAAAAAAAAGGTTATTGTCGTATTTATTCATATCCATATACACTCAAATATTATCATGATATAACGAATCATTTTTCAGGTGGAGTATTTAAATATGTTCGAAAAGTATCATTATTTGATGAACGTCCTTTTCAACATGAATTTTTTCTTCAAATTCAGAAATCATTTCCATTCATGAAAGAATTAACTGTATGTAATGAAAAACGACAAATTAATAAAGAATTTCTCAATCATTAAATATCCTTATCTCAAACAACTTGATCTTATTCAAAGTTGCATAGATTACTATGAACAATTCTTATGCGATACTCTAACTTATTTATCATTTGATGTTCGTCTTATTATGGATCATGAATTAGTGACAAAACGTGAAACACAATTTCACAACAAATAGAACAAGAAATAATTCTGCAAAAATAAATTACGTAAATTTATGTATAGAATTACAAGAAGATGATGGATATTTTGATAATTTTTCTGGTGAAAAACAACAAGTTCCTCAATATATAAAAGACTATTTTCCTCATACACAAATTGATTGATTATTGTTTATTTTTGTTATTTAAATAAAATATGAACAAAAGTAGATTGATTTACATAGAATTAAAGCAGCATTGAAAGAGAGAGATAGAACTAATAAATAATAATGATTGAAAATAGATATTGGATAGGAAATTGTTAGAAATGAAAATATCCTATCTGTCTATGTATACAGTTCAGAAAAAAAACTTCAAATTAAATTACAATTTAAAAAGTAAATCTCTTAACTAATAGTA